TTATTTATTATTTCACTTATTTTTAATTATTAATTACTTTTTTTTTAATTTGATAGATTAAGCAAATTTTATTTATTTAGGTGAATATAAATGCTGTATTTCAAATAGATTCTTCAGTTCATTACGATGGCATAAGCAAAAATAATTATTAAAATAATGTTAAAATCAAATCTTTAAATAAAGCATTTACTATTAACAAATTTATGATAAAAAAATATGAAAGATTAGAAGCAAAAGCATCTGAAATATTACCTTTATATAGACCACTATAAATAAATAATTAAATATTCTTATAAATGCAATAATATCAAATATCAATTATTTATAACTTAATAAAAAATATATTATAACTAAATATCAAATAGTAATATAATAGTCATATCTAATAATAATAAAGTCACTGCATACTAACCTAATCTAATTTTTATATAATTATGTAGATGATTTGCAAAATCCTTAGATTTCTCTTAATAACCTTAGCTAAGATGTCTTAGATGATTATTATTTGAAGTATGTTAATTATAATCTGAGATATAATATATATAATTCAAAATAATATTGAATAATTAATAAATTACTGCAAAAAATAAATTTTTAGATAAATTTAATATATAAGAATGGTTTATATAATGAAAAATGTAAATATAATCATAAAAAAGCTACTAAAAATAGTTTAGCTATGCATATAATTATTTAGTATAACTTATTTTAGTAAAATCTATTTTTTAACAGATTTGTTAAAGTTTTTCTTATAAATATATTTTTTTATATTTATTAAATATATCTATAGTAAATTTAATGTTATATTTATTTGATAATTCATTAAAATATTAAAAATTAAAATAAAAAATAAATTATTTTGGTTAATAAAAATAATAAAAAGTAAAATAATAAATGCTTTAAATAAATAAAGAATAAATTTACTTTAATTATATTATCTTTAATACCTTGTGATAATCAATCTAAATATCTCCTATAATCTTTATTAATTGATTTTAAATCTTTTCTATGATTAAACTTTATAAAAAAGCTAAAAAGTTTACAATTTAAACATATGAATAAAAATTTTAATAAATTCAGATAATTTGATTAAGCTAAAAAGAATATATGAAAAGATTACTAGAAAAATAATAATTTGGTTTTATAATATTTAGTTTTTGATATTATTAGATTATAATAAAAATCAAGTAATTTTATTATTCATAAAAAGCATTCTAAGAATAAAATAAAATTAATTATTATTCTTTAGTATTGAAAGTCTGAAAGAATGTTTAATAAGAATTAAAAAAATAGAATGGTTTTTATAATGGCTTTAAAAGATTTTTTTTTTTACATACTTACATACTAAATCTTTTTTAACAATTCATTTATCAACTCAGAATTTCAGAAAATCTCAAAATATTTTTTTGTCAATAAATTCTGATAAATAAATTATAATACAAGATTCTCCTTTAATTCAACTGACTTTAATTCTAGAAGTTTTTTTTTAATATCATCTAAAAATTATCTAAAATTAAATTTCCATTTCTTGTAAATTTTTGTCTGCAAATAAATTTGTAAATTTCTTCACTTTTGGTTAAATAATTAAAGATTTAATGAACTTTAAGAGTATAGCTTGAATTTTTTCAATGAACACCCATAAGATTTTGCCAGTTAGTCAATGAAGAGTTTATTAAGTTTATCATTTTTTGCATTTACTGGAATTAAAATGAATATTTAACTTTTATTTTACAACATGAATATATTTATTTATCTGTTTATTATTTGAGTTATTGTAAAAAATCTTTATTCAAAACTGAAATTTAATTATTTGTAATGCAATCATCAATTTGAGATCATCAAATTGACTAAAAGAACTCCGCAAATCTAAATATAAAAATGATGAATTTATACCTAACAATAATTAATCCTTTTGTATAAAGCAACATAAATTTTTGTGTAGAAACGTCATACATAATTACATATATTTTTACAGAACATTATCATTTTATGAAGATTAAAATCAAACATTTTTCATTTATTATTTTAGAAAATTGTAAATATTTTTATTTAATTTAAAATTGATTTTTTTTTATCTTTTTTTTTTTTTAAAGAAAAAAAAAAAAATAACTCATTTTACAAATTGTATTTATAAAATAATAAATTTATGTAAGAAAATTGTTTTACTATAAGTTTAATCATAATGAAATGAATAAAAAAAATATTGTATATTCGTATAAAACTTTTTTTTTTTTACAACTCAAAATTATTTACACACTTTTTTTAGGTTCAATCTCTTTATCTCCATGATATCCTGAATCATCATCATAATTATTTATTTCAACTTTTGGTATAGAAGTTGGTCTTTTGTTTACCTCTGAAAATGCTTTATCTTTTGATAATTCTGTGAATGCATCAACTCGAAAGCCTCCACTATTACGTGCACTACCTTCACTTAATACATTAGAATTGAACGAACTTGCACGACTACGAGTTCTAGTACTACTATGTCCGCTTGAACTTCTACTTCTTCCTACTACATTTCCATGCTGCTTGTCAAGAAAAAAGAATACATCATCATAATCTGAATCATCTGCTCTTGACCAATCAAAAAGTTTGTCATCAAGAAAATCAGTCAATTGGAATAATCTTTGATATCCCGATTGTGGTCTTGATGGTGATGGTGAAGGTGATCGACTACTTTTCTTCAATTCTTTTACAAGACGTGAATTATCAAAATTTGGAAACACTTTAGGTCCAAGTTCATTAATAAGATCTGTAAGATCATATGATAATTGCTCACGTACTGCACGAAGATTTTGAATAGATGATTGTGACCATGGTAAAAGCGATAAGAAAAGTGGGCGAAGTGACCTATATACATAAATAGAATTTATGATTAAACTATTTATCATAAATATAACTCGATAAATGTAAGCAACCAACCTGTATATATCGAATCCAGAATCAGCTAAATGCATTGTAATGTTACTAACTAAAAAGAACAAAATATATATAACCACAGGGGTCCACCAACGAAGTTGTAATATATTCCAATCATATTTATAGGCTAATGATAACGTTACAAAGGTATAAAATCCATATAAAACAGGCATGACAACAAGAGCCACAAGAAGTTTCCAAGTTGCTAGTACATCACGACCAGCGACTTTGACAGTGGATGACTTTAAAGCCTCTGTAATTTATGATTTCAATATATCAAAAAAAAATATATAAAGTAAGTTTTAAAAAATTATATTAAAGCAAACCTTTTGCCTTTTTTGCGGATATGACACGGGTTATAGTTATTAATGGAATATTTAATATGAAACTAATTTTTTTATAATAAAATTAATTAAATATACATTTAACAAATTTGAAATTACCAAAAATCAAATCAAATTAAACCTTAGAATTATATTTACCCAGGAAAGCCAATAATAGCCCATATTATCAAGACAAGTAATCTGTATATCAACAGGGTAAAGGCTCTTATTCCTCCAAGCGCTGTTCTATGAACCTGATGATCCTTCAAACCATGATATTTCAGTAATTGATTATATGCCATTACCTTTTCATTCATTTCCTTTACACGTGGATCATCTTTAAATTTCATATAACCAGCAACAAACCGACGATTCAATTCAATAACATCTGATAGTTCAAGTTTATGATGTTCAGGGTTATATAAACGTCGTGCAGCTTGAATAACCTAATAATTAGTTAAAAATTATATAAATAGATAACAAATTTTAAAGTTATATCATATTACTCCCAAACAACATACCATTAAAGTTTCATAATCTGGTGTATTCACTGTAACAGATCTCAAAGCCGTATAAATACTATCTAACAACTTTCCGCATGCTTCTCTCTTTTCCACTCCACCTTTACGATACTTTTCAACTAATTCGGGTGATATTGAGATAGGGGTGCCAAATTCTACAACAGCTCGTGAACGGAAAGAATGAGCGTGAAAATAATTTAAACCTAATCAAAGAAAAACGAAAAAAATAAAATTTAAGATTCAAAATACAAGATAGTTGTAATCACTAAACAGAATTAAATCATCCAAATCAAACCGCATGGTACAATCTTCACATCCAACTTTGGGTTTGCAGCCATTGCTCCAAGAGCCATAATTGTAACGCCAGCTACCAAAAAATAAAAATCATTGCATTTATAAAATAATCATAATGCTAAATCAACGATAATGATCATACCTTTTAATGGCAATATTTCTGTCCTATCATGACTTCCACCTTCAGGAAAGATTCCAATACAATGTCCTGCATTTAATGTCTCAAAGACGGATTTATACACTTGGCTTTGATCAACATGAGGCAAACACTTGAATGAAGTTCCTTCAGGATTTGTTAACATTTCTAAAGCGTTCAAATCTTTAAATTCTTTTTTGATCAATAGTTCTGTATCTGATATTACTTTAGTAACTTCAGATGAGCCACGATCATTAGGAAGTGCAATTTGAAAGCCAACTTTAAATTGTTTTGTGAATTCAGTTCCAATCCCTGTAATACGTAAAGGGTCAGTTTTTCTGTCAACCAAATGAATTTTCCCTATTCCTTGCTTGGCCAAATCTTGTGGTCTTGCTACGGGAACTAGGTTAAAATATTGATTTTAATTCAGAATTATTTAATAATGAAAATTACTAAAGATTAAAAAGATTTAGTGACTTACTTGCATGAACAGCACGGGCCATGGCTCCAATATATTTACGTTTCATGGACTTTTCTGCAATTAAAAATGAAACTCTGCGCTTGGTATTCATCATCAAATTCAGTGGATCAACAAACTAATATCGTAAATTTTAAAGAAGTAAATCTTATGTGAATTCTTAAGAGACATGAAAACAAGTTATAATTTTTACCTGATTTGCATGAGGTGCAGCGACGAAAATCACAGGACCTTCCATAGGAATCTTATGCGATCCTCGTGATTTGATTTCTCTGAAAAAATTGCCCAAGACCACACTAAAGAAAAACACAACAATATCATATATTGTAATAAACATCTTTCCTATTTTTCAAATATTAAAATTTTTGCGAATTTAATCAATTTAATAAGATATGAATCAGGATAAAAGAAGAACGAATTATTGTAAATTATGTAAAGTTTCTAAATGTCATGGAACTATAAAAGAAATTTTACAAAAAAGGGATTGCTTTTTATTTACCAGAAGAAAGAAAGAATAAAAGCGGACAAGTTAATTTGTTGCTATAAAAAAGGAAAGATCGTGTGACGATTGTAATCGGAAAAAGGTGATAAGGGACGGGTAAGGACAAATTTGGTAAATGCCTTTCTTTGATCACAAGAATTGATCTTCGAAAATCATATTATTTAGCTGCGGAGTCTACATTGAATTATCACATGTGATGCGAATTACTTTTCAACGTTTTCTTAAAATGGCAATATTTTAACTCCGAGTACCTCCGAATTTAACTTCCGACCCCTTTTTAAAGCTCATAATGAATTCATTTGAAAGATGTCAAATTTTGTATTAATAGTTGATCATTTACTTGTTTCGGTAATCGGATTCCCTGACTATAAATTTTAAGCAAAATAAATTACAATTTTTTTTTTTTCCTGAATAAAAATAAAATTAAAAAAAAATCCTCGTAAAAATTTAAAAATATTTATTATCGAATAATCTCTTCATAGTCACTATAGCGCTACGCTCCGGACAATTATTTGAATGTTATATAAACTAGGGAACGGTTAACCGTTCTAGTCCGAAGCATAATTTCAGATAACAGGACTTATAATAAAATCATAATTTATTATTAATTTATGGTATTCGATTTTTTTTTAGTGTTCAATTTTTGTGAAACACGCATGACATAACAGCAGAAACGCAGAATTCTATTGGGAACGACATTGCATTTTATATGCTTATCTTTCGGACAATAATACTTTTCCTTTTTTTATATATATAGTATATAAAATTAATAAACTTACAAATAAACAATTATTCTATAAATAATTTATCACATAGATTATAATTAACTGTATATATATAGTTTACTTATATATTTTTATTTTACCAAAATAAAACAATTGTGGGAAATTTATCAATAGAATAGAATATATGTTTTGATTGACCGTTCCTAAGTAAGCAAAAAAAGAGGTGATTTTATATGTTTCAGTCTTTTTACGATAATAATTACCTCATTTTTAAGATAAATTTGTAGATGAATTCACCATAAGTTAGCTTAGATCGTTGAAACAAATGAATTAATAAATGTAACGGATTTTGCCAAAAGTCGAATGGGCATATTTGCTTTCCTAAATCTGAAAAATGGGAGTAAATTTCTCGGGAGCCCTTTCACAATAATTCGAATAATAATTCGAAATCGTAATCTTCAATGATTCGACTTAAAAAGGAAGGTGCATATAACGATTTATAAATATATATATAAAATAATCATTTAAGTATGGGCGCCAAAATATCCATGCAAGTTTTGACTTTTGACGGGATTTTATTATGGTCTCGAGTATCGACAGTTTTACCAATAAATTGCCAATGAAACCCGAGAATTTTGCTGCGTGTAATGAATATCTCACCGCTATTGAATTGAAAGGAAGCAACGATTATTATTTTTTTAAAAAAAGCTATTTATCACAGTATTTCAAAATAGTAAATAAATATTCTTAAATCACATGATTTAAAGCTCATCCGAAAGTTAATAAAATTAAAAAAGAGATCTCAAATCTCTTTTCCAAAAATCAATTTATTTAAATGCTAATTATAAACATTAAATTTTACAAAAATTTGTGAAAAAAATCCTATATAATTTGTAAATGTTTGTAATTCGATTACAAAGATAAAATTAACGTGTAATGTCTCTTTTCTTGAATTAATAATAGGGTTATAACCTATGTCGTGTTTGCGTCCGAACCTGTGCCTGATTTTGTTTAGAACTTCGGGTTTTTTATCTTCTCATTCCTGTTCTTTGGTGCTCCTTTTTTAGGCGCTTCTTTTTTATGTGCTTTATCTTTTTCTTGTTCTTTGGGAGCTCTTCTTTATCGTCTTGTCCTTTAGGGACTTCCTTATTTAAAACTGGTGTTTTAGGTGCTACTTTACGTGTAACTTGTTCTTGTTCAATAGTCGAATCAGGTTCGTTTGAATAAAAGTTTGGTGTCCACCTCTTCATTAAGTTGACAGAATTAATGTTACAGAGTTCGGTTATGAAGAATTGTTCAGGATCGACATTAGATCCATGGCATTCATTATATAATGTATTTAATTTTTCAGAATTACATATGCAATCCTTTGTGGAAATATTGTCAGAATTTTCAATACAAATTTTACGCTCAATGTTATATTTCCTACAAGAAGGATTTGGGGATGCATAAACCGAAGCAAGTGTAGCAATGCAAAGAACAAGAGCAGCAGACATCAAATTGGATTTCATCTTTTTTAAAATATTAAAAAGGCAAATGACATAAGGTTTGAATATAGGGAAAGGTGTGAAGAAATATTTAGGAATGCGAATTATGATTGTGATCAAGAATAATAAAGAGAGGGAGAGGAGAGGGAGGGAGATGATATATCTAGGATTTTTTTCTTGAAGGATTAAATGAATGAATAAAAAGAGAAAGAAACAAGTTGATTAGGTAGGTTATGCCAGTCAAAATTGTATGAAGAAACAAATTCGAAACGCAAATATCATGTTCTTTTATAAGCAAGGGATTTTTTAAATTATGTTGCACCAATTCTGTAATTTGGTTTTGGTAAACGGTATGGTAACCAAAAGGTCATTTCGCATGGATTTGCAAGCATGTGAAAAAAAATTTCCTAAAATAGAATTGCGGAATTTTGTTTTACGTCTTCTCTTATGTTTATGATCGTTTAGGTTGCGCCATATGATATTTTGTAAATATTCAAACAAAGAATAATCAATTAAAAAAGCTTATTATACAGTATTATTTGAATTCAAGATAAAAAATGTTTTTTTTTTTTTGATCTCGTGACAAAAAAATAATTTTTATTATCTATCCATTCATGGAATGATGTGCAGATTGTTTACAAATCCGTAAACGGTTAAGTCTGGAAAAGATAAAATAAAAATAATCTGTTTGTTACACTTGAGAATGATGATTCGTTTCGAAACGATACAAAGAACAAACAGAAGTATGCTTATTTCCAATGTAGATTAAAATTACGTAATGACGGCTATGCAAATCTAATCATAATAATCATACATAGAGGAAATTTTGTTTTTCGAAAGATTTTTCCTTTCCCGATTTAAGCAAAAAAAAAATTCCATTGATATTAATACCTTATTGGATGGATGCCTTTTAAAATAAAATCACCAGAAAAACATTTGAGGAATAACTTTTTTTTCTATTCCTCCGCTGGATAATGCAGATCAGGTGACTGACATTCTTTTTGTTCATCATGCGTTTAACACAAATTTCTCTTGTCTACTGCAACAAAATAATATTAAACTCTTTACCCTATCTTAAAATGAATATTTGGCAATAAAACATGAATGATGTAGGTTTTCTTTTTCATAAAGAGAATAAGCTATCTTTCGTTTACCAAACTATTTCCATATCACGTGATATCCGTTTTACGAATTCAAAGTAATGGAAAAGACCATATTTTATTTTAAAATAATTCCACCCTTGCCATAATAATAATGAAACGCACATGGTCAATTCATCATTTTGCTTTTTTTCTTCTTTTTTTTTTTAAAAAAAATTTTATAAAACCAGTACATAACGATAATCTCAGAAATTCAAAATGAGGTTTGCTAATATTTGCTAATTCAAATTTATATAACCGTTTAACAATATTTAACCGGTGTTAGAAGAAATCGGCATTATGAATGGCGCAGAAACTGCGTAAAATTATGAAAATGTCGGAAATGTCAAAAATGTCTAAAATATCATTTATATTTATTATATCAATTATATGTGTTAAAATAATTATAATAGTTTTCGATTTTTATTTATTTTATCATTTATATTTATTAAATTTATTATAATTGTTATTTTTATTATATTAGTTATATTCGTTATATTAATTATTTTTATTATATTAGATATATTCGTTATATTTATTATAAGATAGAAAAATTAGTATTTAGAAATTTTGTATATAAACCCCGAAATTCCGCTTTGTTAAAAGAATAAGGTTGACGAGTCTTGACTGTACGAATTCTTGCCATAATAAAATTCCACGTTACACTTTCAAACTTTATCGTGTCTCCATATAGACTGACTAATAACCACTACACAAAGAATTGTATTCATTAGTTAATCTTTCTTAGGACGGACCTTAGTTAGATTTAATCATTGTTTGGTTAACCTGGCTTCGGTTTAAAATCTTCAGGCTTGTTCCAACCTCTAATGAATTTCGGTTTATACGTAATCGTAAACTATTCGCCATTTGTTATGCTATCGTTATACAACGATTAGTCACTTCCAAGTTTAAATATAAATATAATATAACATATTTATGTTTAATTGACGTTATTAATTTAATTTCTTCAAGAATTCAATGAAAAATTTCATGGGAAAAAAAGCTATATTTTCATGTAACTATCTCGCATTATCAAATTAAATTCTTCATTTTCTGATAAACGGTAGGTTTAATAGGTTATTAAAATGTAAATCCCTTAATTAGATAAAAATTAATGTTATAAATATTCTTAGTTTATTGTTTAAAAATATCATTGCAATCGACTTGAATAAAGAATCATTTATTCCTAACTAAAGTACAAATTTCATTGATAACTTGTTGTGAAAGTTTAACTTATTGTAGTTAAGGAACTTATATATTTAATATTATAAAACTCGGATAAAATCGCTTTCATTATATTTTAACCTTTTAAAGTCATACAATTCAGGAGCTTTTTTAAAAAATACTATTTGGAAAAAATTTAAAAAATTTTTTTTTACGGTTACACCGTTCATAATGAGCGGTGGGCTTATCTACCGAATGCTTTTTTTTTCTCATCATTTCGCTTGATAAAAATCCGATTAAAAAAAATCAAAATGCAATCTTCCAATAATTCAAATGAGTGGTTTGAAGAATATGTTTCAAGTAAAAATATCAAATATTATGAATACAAGCATTTTAGTAATTTTGAAGAGATTGGCAAAGGCAGCTTTGGACAAGTCTATCGTGCAAATTGGAAAAGTTCAATGCAATACCTCGCGTTAAAATCATTACATTACTTCAACAATGCCACTGTTAAAGAACTTGTTCGTGAGGTAATTACAAATTCAATTCGAATTGTGTTTCATTCTATTTATTATAAAATCATTTATTTATTAATATATTTAGCTTGAATTTCAACGGGAGGTTGATTTTCATTGCAATATCATTCGATTTTTTGGGATTACAACATCAAACCAAGGTATAACATATTAAATAATTAAGTTTATTAAAGAATACGTATTTCCTTTACATTTGAAATTTTAACTCATTTATATATTTTTAAATAATTAAAACAATTAGAAAACCAATTGAAAAAATATTGGTTAGTAATGGAATATGCTGATGGCGGTGCACTTAGAAAATATTTGAAGGACAATTTTGAAAAACTTTCTTGGGGAGATAAATACAACTTAGCATTCCAATTGGCTAGTGCTGTGTCGTGTTTATATGAAGAAGGAATTGTACATCGTGATCTGGTAACTTACATAATTTGTATCTTATTTTGTTTATTTAGAATCTTAAAACATTAATATATAATTTTATATTTACTTATAATTGCATTCCGGCAATATATTAATTCATCAAGGTGTAATTAAACTAGCCGACTTCGGTCTATCGAAAAGAATTGACGAAGCAACTAACCAGTCAAAAGTTTTTGGTATCATTCCTTATATTGATCCTAAAAGATTTGGTGGACGGAGAAAAAATGACAATACATCACAAAAATATACGTTAAATGAAAAAAGTGACGTTTACAGTATTGGCGTTCTATTATGGGAAATATCGAGTGGTCGTCCTCCTTTTTATGTTGAAGGCGAGCCATACGACATTGATTTAGCTATAGAAATTTTACAAGGACTCAGAGAAAGTGTCATTCCTGGTACGCCTGAAGATTATGTAAACATTTATATTGGTAAATATTTTTACTAAATTTAAATTCAAATATAATGATTTTCGATCACTAAATTATTTATATGATTTGTAGAGTGCTGGGACAACGAGCCGATAATCGTCCAGTTATGAATAAGGTAGTAAATGAATTAAACGCAATAATTACAAAAAAAAATATAATAGAACATGATCAAATTAATAATGAAGAATCAAACCCTCAATTTTCTGAGCAACGACATTATTCAAGTATTAATAATTCATTACATGGAGAATTATCTCGGATAATTCAAAATTTTAATCAGATGAATGCAGAAGAATCAGAATCGAATAATGAAACATTCGCCATTATTTACGATGATACGATTGATAGTTTAACAATTACGGAACTTAATAAGGATGATATATTAAACACC